CATGGGTGCCTGTAATCCCAGCTACTTTGGAGGCTGAGGCAGGAGAATTGCTTGCATCCAGGAGGTAGGGATTGCAGAGAGCCAAGATCGCACCACTGCACTCCAGCCTGGGTGACAGAGCAAGCCCCCATATCAAAAAAATAAAATAAAATAAAAGATATATGTCACCAGATATAAAGTCTTAATGTAGTGCTATAGTAATTAACATCTTAATGTAATGCTATAGTTTATTTGCTGTTATAACATGGAAAAAAACAACAACTAATATATGGCAAATAAACCAATGGAATAGAACCTCTCTGGAATGAGATCCACATATAAGGTCACCTGACTTATGGGCATGGTGCTATTGCATTGCAGTATGCAAGGAATAGTCTTTTTAATAAAAGTTATTAGATCAATTGCCTATCCATAAGAAACAGTCTCACTCTGTCACCTGGGCTGCAGTGCAGTGGCACCATCATAACTCACTGTAGCCTTGAACCCCTGTGCTCAAGGGATCCTCCGACCTCATCCTCCCAAGTTGCCGGGGCTACAGGCATGTGCCACTGAGCCCAGCTAATTTTATTTTATTTTTGTAGAGACAGGGTCTCACTTTGTTGCCCAGGCTGGTCTCCAACTCTTGGCTTCAAGCAGTCCTCCTGCCTTGGCCTCCGAAAGTGCTGGGATTATAGACGTGAGCCACCTCATCTGGCTCAATTGCTTAAGTAGAATAAAAAAAGCAGTTACTGAAAAAAAAAATCCATAAATTGAATATTATTAAAATGTAGAACTTCCATCAACAAAAGACATCATTAAGAAGAGAAAAGAAAAGCCATAGTCTGAAAAAACATATTTGTGTTATATTTATTAGAAAATATGAGAATATTTAAAGAACTTCTACAAAACAATAAAACAATAGACAGACTAGTAAATAACAGGCAAAAGTTTGGAATAGGCACTTCACGAACATATGAAAAGGTACTCAAGATAATCAATGAAATGCAACATAATAATAAAAATGACCTAACAATCCTTCATGCAAAAACAAAAGTGACTCTTCCAAATGGAACAGTGAGCAGAAGCTGGACACAAAAGAGTACCTATGTTTTTATTCCTTTAATATAAAATTTAGGAAGCAGCAAAACCAATTATTAGTGTTATAAATCAGAATAATGGTTACTTTGGGAAAATAAGTGGGAAAGGGCATCCGGAAGGCTTCTGGGTTGTTGATGTTCTATATCTTAATCTGAGTGCCATGTACATGGATGCATTTACTTTGTAAAAATTCACTGAACTGCCTAATTAAGATTTGTGCACTTTACTATATATATGTTATACTTAAGCAAAAAATCTACATGATATAGAAATAATTGTTGAAAAAATAAGACCCAACAAAGTAAACTCCAGGCCATAGGGTGTTTCTGGTGAATTCTTTCAAACATTTAAAGAAGAAATAATACCAATCTTGCATAAACCCTTCCAAGGAAACAAATACATGAAACACTACCGGCTGGCTTCATAAGACTGTCATAAGTTTGATACCTTATGACAGTCTTATGAAGCCAGCCGGTAGTATTTCATAATGTCCTTAAAATCTTATAAGGACATTACAAGAAAGAAAATTACAGTTTAATCTCTAAAATAGGAATGGGATGATGAAAGTGTTCTGTAATTAATTAGCGGTCTTGGTTGCCTAATGTTTTAGTCTATTTGGGCTGCTGTAACAAAATACTATAAACTGGTTTTATAGTATTGTACACAACAGAAATTTATTTCTCATAGTTATGGAGGCTGGGGAGTTCACGACCAATGCTCCGGCAGATTCAGCATTTCCTCCCTGGTGGGAGGGGCAAAGGAGCTCTTCTGGGCCTCTTTTATTAGGACGCTAATCCCATTTGTGAGGGCTCTGCTCTCATGACCTAATCACCTTCCAAAGGCCTCACTTCCTCATGTCATAACCTTATGGGTAAGGATTTCAGCATATGGGTTTGGGGTAGACTCAAAGATTCAGACCACAACACACAAATTTGTGAATATACTAAACACCACTGAATTGTGTAATTTAAAAAAAGCAACTTTCATGATACATCAATTGTACTTTAATAGAAACATTCAAAATGTATTATAAAAGCATATTTGCCATATATAAAAATGATTAAATATTATGACAAAGTTGATTTATTTTAAGAATGTAAACTTAAAATTCAAAATCATTTGCCTTTCAAAAATGTACTCAAAACAATTTGTTACATTAACAGAAAAAAAAGAAACAGATATGGTTACATCGATATATGTAACTAAAGTGTTTGATAAACTTCCACATGATTCAAAGACCAAAAATTTTTAATAATGAAGAATATCTGAGAATGTCCTTAATTTAAAAATGGTTATCTACAAAAAGCCTATAGTAAACACCAGATTAATGGTGAAATGTTTTTTTGTTTTTTTTGTTTTGTTTTGTTTTTTGAGACAGAGTTTTGCTATTGTTACCCAGACTGGAGCGCAATGGCAGGATCTCGGCTCGCCGCAATCTCCGCTTTCTGGGTTCAAGCAATTCTCCTGCCTCAGCCTCCCAAGTAGCTGGGGCTACAGGCACGCGCCACCATGCCAAGCTAATTTTTGTATTTTTAGTAGAGACGGGGTTTTACCTTGTTGACCAGGATGGTCTCGATCTCTTGACCTCGTGATCCACCCGCCTCGGCCTCCCAAAATGCTGGGATTATAGGCGTGAGCCACCGTGCCTGGCCTGAAATGTTTTAATCTTTCTCATTGAGATGTGGAACAAGTCAAGGATGGCATCTATTGCTACCAATGTTTAATGTTATACTGGTAGTCCTAGCCAGTGTGGTAAAGAAGAAAGAAAATGGAAGGAAGGAAGAAAATGGAAGGAAGGAAGGAAGGAAGGAAGGAAGGAAGGAAGGAAGGAAGGAAGGAAGGAAAGAGGGAGGGAGGGAGGGAGAAAGGAAGGAGGGAAGGAAACAAAGAAAAGACACAGAGTTAAATAAAATTATAATTAGCTGGTGGTTTGGTAAAGTGTCAACCAGACTAATCTGGAATTAAGTTTTCCAGACCAATTTCTCTGTATGGTTCTGGACTAGGGTTACAGCCTGAGAAATTAGCCTGATATTTGACAGGCAGAAGTTAAACAACAGCCATTCCACTTTGAAAGTCATCCTTGGATAGAGTTGGTGAGGCACAGTGCAGGAGTGGAGGGTTCAGAGGATAGACCTTTTACCTGAGGCTTGAGAAGTACATTCACATGGGAAGTTTCAGCATCCTCTGTGACAGCTCATTCTCTGTAGGCTGGGAATGATAGTGGGAACAGTTGCCATTGAACTGGGTTCTCTGAATTCACTTGGGGATCAAAGGACCTCAGGGTGGCAGAGTCCAAGTGGCAGCACTTAAGTGTCACAGACAATGGGAGTTCTTGTAATGGGTATTAGAGTTGAAACAGCAATCAGAATGATTTGACTGAAGAGAACTTTGTTACTGGCTAACTGATCATGGAGTCTCTAAAACCGAAGTAGATGGATAGCCGACTAAAGTGTTACTTGATTTGTATGCGTAGAAGAGATTTAGGTCAAGTGAATAGAATTCTGACTTGAATCATTGCAAAAGAAGTTCATCGTACATCCACAATTCCTACACTTGAATAGTCTATAGACTCAGGGCAGCATGAATGGATGGGAGACTGGATCCTTTTGAGGAAGCATCATGCTACACAGTCAAAAGCAGGTATTGTAAATCTTCCCCTAGCCTTCACCAAGAAGACTTAAAGCCATTTACCAGCATTTGGATATAGAAAGTTTACAGAACTAGAAACAGAGAATACAGGTATATGTATAGGTATAAGTATAGCTTTAGGTGTATTATTTTGTTTGTTTTCTCTATTTTACTCATAATATTTTTTCATATTTCCAAGAAAATTCTTATTCCAATTCCATGTTATCTTATTACACATTTCAAATAAGATGGAAGTTTCCCAATTTGTTTTACAAAATAACAAAACTATTTCTTAACTAGATAAACAGCAATAAATATGTGAGCAGTGTCATTGATAAACTTAGATTCTGAAGCTCATAAACTTTTTAGTAAAAGTAACAACATTTTTAAATACCAAGAAGAAAAGAAGTCCCCAAGTTATCCAAAGAGAACAGTAAGATGTTACACACTGTATTTCTCTCAGCCTCAGCCTGGCCCTCCACTACCTAGGTGTATTATTTTTTCATAAAATGAGATCATGCTATACATGCCATTCATCTGATTCCTTTTCCACATAAAACACATTTCTTTCTAGCCATTAAGTGCTTCTTTATGCATTTTTATGGTTTAATAAGATGCCCGTGTATGGATATACTTTTTTTTTATTCTGCAAAGCTATTTTATGTTTCTTAGGGAATTCTTTATAGCGGAAATTTTGAATACCTCTTTCTAGTAGATCATTTCCAAACCATAGTTTAAAATATATAGGTTACTCCAACATTTTAACTAATATAAATCATGCTGCAATGAAAAGTTTACACCAAACTGCATTAAGAAGTTTGTGTTTATTTCCTAAGTAGTAGGTCAAAATATATGCCTACTTCTGAGGTTTACAGTGTATGGTGTCTGTCAAGAGGATGTGTTGATCTTATGGTACATGGGAGTCCAGGTTCTTCTGAAGCTTCACTAACCTTGAAGAGCATCAGTTTTAAAAATCTTTACTGATTTACCAAGCAGGACGATTATTACACTGGAGGTGGTAGAACCAACATAATTTCAAATTTATTGAAGTAAAATCAAGTTTGAAGGCTTTTAGGTACTTAAGCTCTCAGAATTAGAAAAGACACATCCCAGGATAAGTAAGAACTTAAGGAAAGAGTTGCCAGGAACCCCACAGGAATATTTGAGAACATTAAAGCTGTCTTCAGCCATGTGAAGGACAAATTGCACAGAGGAATTCGGTTAACATTTTTATTATTCCAGAGAAAAATTAGAATGTATCAATAAAAGAAATGGGAAGGGATATTTCAACTCACTGTCACAAACAGGTGTTTTATTATCCCAAATGACAGTATTGCCTGAGGCGATGCATGTGGCGGATGAGGAACCAATGAGTCGGTATCTAGAGGCAAATAATAAGGAATGTTAGGTTCTAAAGAGGTCACGTCAACTTCCCCGTTAAATCAGTACTTCCAGAGATTGCAGTCTTATAGAATTCAGAGGAACGTTTTCCACTTATCAAAGGACTATGTATAACCTTCCCAAATTTCACATTCTTCTCAGGACCTTTAGATTTTCTTTTCCATGGCTTCTCGGATGAGCTGTCTTTTCTTTATTATGACACATTTTTATATAAATCAAAGATGAATTACAGTTTTTCCTATAAGTTTCATTTTTTAAAAAAAGATCGCACAAGCTTCTTGAGTGCAGGGAAGCCGTCATATATATACTGATGTATGTAGTCCTGTTGTATGTCTTTCTATGCTTTGCAAGTATTAATGTATGGATGCATGGATGGGCGTTTATCAGTAAGATTCATCGGTGCCTCATGCATATAATCCCAGCATTTTGGGAGGCGGAGGCAGGAGGATTGCTTGAGCTCAGGAGTTCAAGGTCAGTCTGGGCAACATAGTGAGACCCTGTCTCTACAAAAAAAAAATTTTTTAAAAAGCCAGACATGATGGCACATTCCTGCTGTCCTAGCTACTCAGGAGGCCAAGGCAAAAAGATCACTTGAGCCTGGGAGGCTGAGGCTACAGTGAGCATTGATCATGCCACTGCACTCCAGCCTGGGCAACAAAGCAAGACCTTGTGTCAAAAAAAAAAAAAAAAAAGAAAGAAAGAAAGAAAGAGAGACAAGGATAGAAAGAAGGAAAGAAAGAGAAAGAAGAAAATGATTCATAACTAGAATCAAAATGAATCTAAGCTGACCAAAAAGAATTGAACACTTATTTTATACTTGAAATGTTAAAGTCAGCAATTCTCAATTAGTATGTCTCAAAGTGTTCAAAGTGTGCCATACATTTGGAAGAATTCATGACATTTGCTTTACTTCACCGGAGACTCTCTGTTGTGATGGACGGTTGGGTCTAACTGGCCATAGGGAGGGTTGGATCAAACTTGGTAGTACTACACGTGAAGGAAGGACGCAATGTCAAATAACAGTCATGGTTACAGGGAGAGCTGAGAACTTGCTTCATGAATGTGTGGGAAAACCTGGCAGCATAGAGCTTTATTCAAGCAACAAAACAGTGCCAAATGGAGATCAAGTGAATAGTGAGAGAACAGTGGGTGCTTTTGAAGACACTTGACGCACTGTTAACATTATAGTAGTGATTATGCTGTAATTATTAATGACTTCAATGTCATTTTGACTTTTTTGTTATTATTTTTGAGATGGAGTTTCACTCTTGTCACCCAGGCTGGAGTGCAATAGCACGATCTCAGCCTATTGCAACTGCCACCTCCCAGGTTCAAGTGATTCTCCTGCCGCAGCCTCCCAAGCAACTGGGATTCCAGGCACATGCCACCATGCCCGCTTAATTTTTGTATTTTTAGTAAAGACAAGGTTTCACCATGTTGACCAGGCTGGTCTTGAACTCCTGACCTCAGGTGATCTCGCTGTCTCCCCCTCCTAATGTGCTGGGATTACAGACATGAGCTACCACACTGGCCTCATTTTGCTTTCTAATGCCTTCTAGTATAACACCAAAGTGAAAACATTCTCAGTTGCACTGCCAACAGACACACACATAAGCATGAAGGATGTGAACAAATGAAGTGAAGAAGGGCCGCATTCCTATATGTGTACCCCCTTCTGCCTGTTTGTCTTAGGAGCAAGGGATCCTGGAGCCTCTCTGGCTTTTGACCTCACTGAAGTTATATCTCAAAATGTTCTTTTGATTTTCTAATCATGGTGTGTGGGGATAGGAATGATCAAGCAGGTTCAACCTGACGTTGACATCTTTTCCTCCATACTATTGTTCAGTGTTGCAGTACTGAACATATTATATATGAGTCAAAAGATAACTTTATGTTCACTGATCAAGGGGAACAGATAAAAGAATATTTTAATTTATTGAACTTGTCTCCCAAAGTAGATTACAAAATTAAACAAATAATTGTTTGAACTTTTCTCATTCAGAATGTTTATGAGGAAGTAAGGCAGAGAGATAAAACCCATGATACTTATTTCAAAGGGAGCCAGGGGCTTTCATAATCATTTGAACAGATTGAAGCCTTTACATCCTACCCTTTCTTTTTCGATTTCCTGGGAAGAGAGAGTTGTGGCTTCATAAAGTTAAGCCACAGTTCAGGAGAAGCCATGATCATTTCATCACCAGAAACCACATATGGCATGTGGATAACTATGTCTAGACTCTTGGGAGTCTTCTCCCCAGGGCCCAGAGTGGGACAGTGAAGCTTGGGATATGAGTCTCATTTCCATTTTCTGTCTTAAGTGCCTTGAACCAGGTGGATGGGTTAGGAAAAAATAAAATAAAAAACAAATCCTGTGAATTATTTAGGTTAGCACATTTTCAACCTTAAATCATGAGATTCAGAAAATGTATTTAAGGATAGAGTTTATTTGAGCATAAAGCTAAGGAAGACACCAACTCCAAAAGAATGAGGTCAGCACTCCAAAGCAGAGAATGTAAGGTCTCACTTACGTGGGCAGAGACAGAGAAATTTTTAGCAGAATTACATTTTCCATATGAGACCATGCATGATTACAGCACTTTGATTGGTTATAGAGTACTACATTCCAAGGAAGATTACTTTACTACTCTCTGAAAAGGGGTAGTGATCTGAGGGGGTCTTATCTCTGGCACCATTTGGTTTTAACTACAGGAAAAAAAGGCAGAAGTTACAGCTGCCTGCTGCATAGCCACAGTGCTCTCACGGCTCAGAATCATTGAAAGTTCCCCCAGCTGTAAGTTTGAATTATTTAATTTCACAATATACAATTCTTTGGTAGGAAACCCATCCCTTTGGAAATTTAGTAGGAACTTAAAAAAAACACACCCCTTTTTATTTTGAGATACTCAGGTTTGCATGCAGTTGTAGGGAAGAGGACAGAGATCCCAGGTACACTTTACTTAATTTTCCCCTTTCCTAACACTTTGCAAAACAATAGTACAACATCAAAATCAAGATATTGAGACAGATGTGATCCACCAATTTTGTTCAGATTTCCGGTTTCACCTGTACTTATTTGAGTGCATGTCTGTTTATGCACATATTCCTGTGTCTTTACATTTATGCAGTTTAAAAAGAAAATAGACTTTGTGTTTTAGCACAGTTTTTGGTTCACAGCAATAATGAACAGAAGATACAGAGATTTCCTATATACTACCTGTGCCTACATGGATAGCCTCCCCTATTATATACATCCTTCACCAGGGTGGTACATGTTTTGCAACTGATGAATCTACACTGAACCATCATGGTCACCCTAAGCCCACAGGTTATATTAGGGTTCACTCTTGGTATTGTACATCATAAGACTTTGGATACGTTTATTATGACATGTACCGACTGTTATGGCACCATACAGAGTAGTTTCACTACCAGGAAAATCCTCTGCGCTCTGCCTATTCAACCCCTCTTCTTCCCTAACTCCTGACAACCACTGATCTTTTTACTCTTTCCATAGTTTTGCCTTTTCCAGAATGGCATATAGTTGGAATCATGTTCTGTAGCATTTTCAGATTGGCATCTTTCACTTAGTGAAAGAAGTTTCATTATGTAAGGTTCCTCTATGTCTTTTCATGGCTTGGTAGCTCATTTCTTTTCTTTCTTTTTTTTTTAAAGATGGGGTTTCACCATGATGGCCAGGCTGGTCTTGAACTCTTGACCTCAGGTGATCCACCCACCTCAGCCTCCCAAAGTACTAGGATTGCAGGCCTGAGCCACTATGCCCAGCCTCAGTAGCTCATTTCTTTTTGGTATTGAATAATATGGATGTATGGATGTACCACAGTTTATCCATTCTCTTGCTAAAGGACACCTTGACTGCTTCCAAGTTTTGGGAATTATGGATAAACGTGTTATAAACATCTGTGTGCAGATCTTTTTGTGAGTGTGAACATGAGATTTCAATTCTTCAGATAAATACCAAGGAGGATAACTGCTAGATAATAAGGTAGAGTATGTTTAGTTTTATTTAAAAAAAAAAAAAGCCAAACTGTCTTTCAAAGTTATGGTACCGTTTTGCATTCCTACCAGCAATGAATGAGAATTTTGTCCCCCTCGCCCCTGAAATATATAGACATCTTCTCCCTATAGACGTTCCTGTTAGTGTGACCTTATTTGGAAATACACTCTTTGCAGAGGCAATCAAGTTCAGATGAGGTTGTTAGTGTGGTCCCTAATCCAATATGACTGGTGTCCTTATTGAAAGAGAGAACTTTCGACACTGACATGCACAGACAGGAGAACAGCATGTGCAGACACAGACCAAGCGGGAAGACGGCCATGTGAGGACAGAGAAGGAAATTGCAGTTCTGCTACCACATGCCAAGGAAGGCCTGGGGCCCCTGAAGCTGAAAAAGCAAAGAGGGATCCATCTCTACAGGTTTTGGAGCGAGCATGGCTCTGCCAACACCTTGATTTTGGACTTCCAGCCTCCAGAACAGAACTTCAAAAACTTCATTTGTATTAAGCTGCTGGTTTTGGAGTACTCGGTTACAGCAGTCCTAGCAAACGGCTGGCGCTATGACCATTAAGATTTCTCTCGCACAGTTGCTCAATGGCCTGCCCTTTCTTCCAGTCCTGGGTTAGGGCTGTTTGTGTGCTTTGACTGCAATCTTCCCCCATTTTCTTCCTTCCCACCCAACGATTGCCACACTTTTCATATGTGCACTGCCTTGGTTTCCAGCAAGGAGACGGATGATTTTCCCCCATCTTGTCATACCTTTGTTCATTTCAGTTAGGAGCTAAACACCTGTGTTCAAGCCTTTGAAGAGAAGATGTTAATAGCTTAGTCATCCTTTCTGAGATGTGGCTAGAAGGTGTATGGCTGTGCCAGAACTCTTGAACCAAGAGATGTTGCTGCCAACTCACCCTTTATTACAAGAATAATTAATTTGGGATCCAAACTTGATGTCTTTGATCACATGCACCATGCCATTCACAGGTTCTGAAGGATTACGACATGATCTTCCTACAGGAAGAAACAGAATTTTGGAGCCAAGCACAGTAAACTAATTTTTTAGTATATAAGGTCTCAACCTGCCTGTAGCTTATTGATGATGAATACACACAGTTCTGATGGTTCCATAGATTTTGCCACCTGGAGGAAACTCACCAGACTGCTTCAGGATCAGCTCCCTTTCAAAAAAAACTTCCCTTCAGATCTGTTTCATCCCCATATTATACCTCCCAGAAAAATGTAAATTTTATTTGTTACCATCTGCAATTCAATTCAACTAGTATAATCCAAAGATCTCAAAGCCCAAAGTTGTCTCATCTTTTGGTTATTTAATACACTTATCTTTCTTGTCCCAAGTCATTCATTACTTAATTTTAGTCATGAAAATGAGAGACCCCCAGTGAATGGGGATTTTCCCTTGATCGTATCCTGTGTTGGCTGTTTCTCATAAAATAAACTTGTAATGAAGGTGCCAGGAACTCAAAGCAGTAACAAGGTATGATCTACAAGAATTATTCTCATATGTATTGCACCTTCATAAACAAATTGTCACATGTAACTCAGTTACAAAATTTGAACTAACTGGGTCAGATCTTACAGATGTGTGACCAACAGAGGGGTTCCCACTCCAGAGTTACTTACGTCTGCACTCGTCCTTAGCACTTGTCCAGACTGAGTTTTTTAGGCAGACAATAGAAAATGATCTTCCGTAATAACCAGGGAGGCATTTGTACATTAAATATGTCCCAATGGGAAACTGAGACTCGTCAGTTAGGTTGATAGGCCTGGCAAATGGAAGCCATTCAGGGGCATTGCATTGACCTGGAGATCAAGACCACAGCAGCATCGAAGTTAGTGGAGAAATCACCATACGTTTGTTTCTTTTTTGAGATGGAGGCTGGTTCTATCACCTAGGCTGGAGTGCAGTGATGTGATCTTGGCTCACTGAAACCTCCACCTCCTGGGTTCAAGCAATTCTCCCTGCCTCAACTTCCCAAGTAGGTGGGATTACAGGTGCCCACCACCACCCCTGGCTAATTTTTGTATTTTTAGTAGAAACAGGGTTTCACCATGTTGGCCAGGCTGGTCTTAACTCCTGACCTCAAGTGATCCACTCACCAGAGCCTCCCAAAGTGTTGGAGTGAGCCACCATGCTCTGTCGAAATTCCCATTCTATTTCTTCTTTTTCTCCAATATACTTCATAGATGTGACCAAAAAAGAAAAAGAACACTTCAATAATAGCCAAGGGGGCTGCGCGTGGTGGCTCATGCCTGTAATTCCAGCACTTGGGAGGCCAAGGTGGGTGACTCACTTGAGGTCAGGAGTTCAAGCCCACCTGGTCAACATGGTGAAACCCTATCTCTACTAAAAATACAACAAATTAGCAGAGCACGATTGTGTGTGCCTGTAGTCCCAGCTACTTGAGAGGCTGAGGCAGGAGAATTGCTTGAACCCAGGTGGCGGAGGTCACAGTGAGCCAAAATTGTGCCACTGTACTCCAGCCTGGGTGATGGAGCAAGACTCCATCTTAGCAATAATAATAATAATAGCAAAGAGATCAATTTCTTTAGAACAGTGGTCCCCAACTTTTTGGGACCTGGGACTGGTTTTGTGGAAGACAACCTTTTCCAAGAATGGAGGGTGTAGGGAAATGGATTTCAAACTGTTCTACTCAGATCATCAGGCATTAGATTCTCATAGGGAGCACGAAACTGAGATCCCTCATATGCACATTTCACAGTAGGGTTTGCACTCCTATAAGAATCGAACGCTGCGGCTGATCTGACAGGAAGTGGAGCTCAGGCAGTAATATTTGACTGCT